CTCCCCTCCCCCGGGTGCCCCCAAGCCACCCGCTGCTGAAACTGACCAGTGGCTGACTACAGGAAGCCCCTGCCCGGGGCTTCCTGGAATCAGCTGCTGATCAGTTTCAGCAGCGGCTGACTTGGGGGTGCCTGGGGTTCTTAAGTTGAATCTGTATGTAAGTCAGAACTGGCGTCCAGATTCAGCCACTGTTGAAACTGATCAGTTTCAGCAGCGGCTGAATCTGGACGCCAGTTCCGACTTACATACAGATTAAACTTAAGAACAAACCTATAGTCCCTATCTTGTACGTAACCCGGGGACTGCCTGTAATCAGGAACGTCAGACATTTTTGCTGTTTCTCTCCTAATTACATTTGTCAGAAGTGTTAATGGGTTAATTCTGTGCCATCAATGTGTAACTGGGATAAATGTAGCACTCAGGCAGTGAGCAAGAAGATAGAACAGAAGAACAAAGTGGCTAAGATCTCTCAGGTAGAGAGAGGAATACAAAGGAAAATTATTTTAAAGCATCACTTTTGGGAGTGAAATGAATCACATTACAGACAACCTTGCACAGGTGTTCTCAAACTTTTGTATTGTTGACCCCTTTCATACAGCAAGCCTTTGAGTGCAACCACCCCCTCCCTTATAAATTAAAAACATGTTTATTTGTAACACTATTACAAATTCTGGAGGTGAAGCAGGATTTGTAGGTGGGGCCTGACAGACACAAACTTCCACATAATAACCTCATGACCCCCTGAGGGTCAGAGCCTGCAGTGTGAGAATCCCTGCCCTAGCAGAGCTTAACCCAGAAACAAAAGGTCATAATAAATGGCAGAGTGTTTTTGCCACTTGGATAGAGAGTTTTGGATTGTTCCTTTGCCAGAAAGTTAAGTTTCTAATGTGCATCTGGAATATAAGTTTCTTTGGGTGGTGGTTAGAATTCTGGTATTTAGTAGCATACATCTGTTTTATCTCAATTATGCAATTTCATAGAACTTAATTGGTGTTTTAATTGATTATTAAAAAAAATATATAAACATTGGAGCAATTTAAAGAATCAACACAAGTAGCCAAATTGTTTCTCAATTACAATCACACAGTTCCACTGTCTTCAGCATGTCTCTAGCATGTGTTTATTATTAAAACCCACTTACAGTACTAACCGGTTTCCAGCCATGTGTTTACAAAGATCATCTTCTAAATGCAGCCTAATGTTCCTAAATCAGCAGATGGGTTGACTAAAAAACAACTCCAAGAGATATGAACTTCCCTGTTCATCAGACTGGATTTCTGAAGCTTAATGATAATAAATATTAAAAAATCAATTGTGTTAACACATATACACCTCTTGAGGGATTCTTTGTGGAGAGTGATACTGTGGGTGACGTTGCGAGTGTCCTGTACCTGTACTTATTTTTCCTACAAATTCTGTAGTTTTTAGTTTTAGCAATAGAATTGTGAAGCATTATTATTATATTGTATAATCTGTGGGTGGGCAATAATTTTTAATGGGGGAACCGCTCCAATATTTTGGCAAGTGGTCAAGTGCCGCACTTCAGTGGAGGGGTTGTGGAGTCTGGGATGGATGTAGGGTGCAATAGAGAGTTTGGGATAGGTGACTGGGGTGCAGGAAAAGGTGTGGGGTCTGAAAAAGAGTTTGGGTGAAGGAGGGGGCTGTGATCTGGGGCACAGGCTTGGGGGGAGGGGCAAGGCCTGGGAGGGAGTTGTGACCTGGATGAATGGGGTGCAGAGGATTTGGGTGGTGACCTGGGGCAACAGAATGG